TGGAGCCCAGTGTTTGGTTGTACCCAGCTTCCTCAGCAGAGTGGATGTGGCTGCCTTGTTCTCTCTGTAGAGCCATTCCTTGTCCTCCTTTGTGGTAGAAGGTCGTCTTGAAAGGTCTTCCTTGTAGACAAAGACCTTTGAGCTTGTGAAAGGAGGAGAGTGACATGACTGCTCCTGGTCTTCTTGTGCATAGTAAAATAAAGGTTTGAAAGACCTCCAACCAAACTGATCCCCACCATGCCCCCTAACCATGTCCCTGTTCTGGTTCTTCATGATTCTTGAACACCTCTAGGAACGGTGACTTCACCACCTTCCTGGGCAGCCTCTTCCAGTGCATCACCACTGTTAATGCTGGTGCAGCAGCCTCAGGTTGTTTCTGCTGGTCCAGGGTTAACTCCTGGGATGTCAGGTCCCGTGAGAAGGCTGTGTGCGGACTGTGCCAGCTCTGTGCAAGGCAGGCACAGGCTGTGCCTGGGATGAGCGAGCTCGTTTTTTCTAAGTGGTGCAACTCTGAGAATGACAACTGTGAGTTCTGCCTGAGCTGGGGTGTGAAATCTGGGGGATGGCTGCGAGCAGCAACTGCTGGAGGAAGCAGAGCTGAGTTCCTGTCTGGTGGTATAGCTGCAGGATGCTCCTCATCCTCCTCGTGGTGCTTAAACAGTCTGGAGGTCACAGTTACAAGAAGGGAGCAGATCATGCTAGGGTTTTGCTGGTTTCTGGGGTCTGTGGTCTATGACTAGATCTGTAGGTGATGTTGTTTTGGAAAGGCTGAGCAAAATTGGTTAATCTGTTATGGTAGTACTCTGGCCTGCCTGTCTCTGAACCACAGGTGCTTTGATGCAACCAGCTTGTGTGCTGGCTCTGCAGACTGTTGGTGTCTGCTGCAGGACTCAAGGCCAGGGCTGCATTTCAAGGAAGCTTTGTCTGCTGCAGTTTTGTTTTCTGAAGCAGAAACTGTCTTCTCCATCTTTTTTTTCAGAGCTGATCTGTGCTCTAGGACTGCTGAGCTGCTCCCTCAAGGTGCAGGCAGAAGGTCTGGGAGTCTCTCTTTGCAGGTGGCATATGGACACCTGGGTTATAAATACATAGCTCTGGCTGCTCTGGTAGAGTTAGAAGAATTTGCAGAGCTCCCTTTGATTGAGTAGATTTAGAGATCTAAGCATTTTCCATCTTTGTTAAAGGTACTCTGGTCAAGGCCTTGGTGATCCTATCATAACAGCAAAGTTCTGGGTGCTGAAGCTGCTGGTCGGCTTGGTGCTTCGTAGGGCTTTCAGAGCCCAGGGGAGTTGGAGCATCCAGCTCCTCCCAGCCTATGGGGTTTATACACCCCAAAGGAAAAATGCTGCCCTGCTAATGAGTTTAGAAGTGACACCAGCGTGGAGCTCACAAACTCCCAGCATACATCCCTAGGGGCTGTTTTAATTTAAAGCAGAGGCACAATATCCTGCAACGCTAATGCAACATCAGAGCGGGGACTCTGGGGGCAAATGTGCCATGGCAGGGAAAAGGTCTTTGCTCAGGTGTTTTGTCCACATTGGATGGATAAATGGAATTAGGAAGGAGATGTGCTAATGGTGCAGTGTGTGGCTGTGTTTAGTGTGGTGTTTATGCTCATCTGCAGTGCTTTCACTGCAGCTCACTGGGGCAGCTATCCATGCTCAGCTTCTCCTGCACTCTGAATCAAAGGGGCATCTACTGGGTGGCATCCATGGTGAGAGTTCTTCTGGGGTAGGGAGGAGCCTGAGCCTTTTTCTTGGGACTAATCTGGGGTTTAATGATCCTGTAGTTACCAAGATGATACTTAATTATTTCTTTTTCATAGCATTCAAGCCCTGGCACTGTCACTTTGCTGGCAGCAAATCAAACACCGAGTTAGCTTATGTTAACTGTGTGCTAGGAACAGAAGATGAAGTCCTAGATAAGCACTCGGCTGTAGGAACTTCTTAAATTGAACTGAGCAGGGGGGATGCAGGGCAGGGCATTTGTTTTTGCTCTCAGCGCTATCCAGACCCCATGTCTATATATGGGGCTGTGTTCCACTTTGCTGGAGGGCCCCCTGTGCTCTGTGGGATGTGAGCTGGTGGCACGGTGACAGCTGTCCTTCTGCAGGTGGCCATCACCTGTTGGGGACTGTAGTGTCAGAGATTTGTGTGGACCACAGAATCAGCTCTGGGCTGCAGAGCAGGGCTGGGTGTGATGGCTATAAGCTGACCTGATGTTAATGTAAATATTCCCAAACAATGCCATTGTTCCTGCGAGTTCCTATCTCTCCCCCCTTGCCATGTTTAAGTTCTGACTAAGCTTTTGTTAAATGTTTTGTGTAGAGTTTCTAGTTTATCTTAACTAGACCTGCTGCTGTGACAGCTCAAATCTAAACTGAGGCTGGACTTATGGCCCAGATGCCAGATGAACTTGGCTGTCACAGGCATGTTGAATGGCTCTGGTCAGTGCTAAAACCAGGCTACACGTGATGAGGGCCAGTTGTGGGAGTGTACAGGTTTTGGGATGTTGCATGCCTCTGGTGCTGGGCAGAGCTGTGTCCATGCCACGGAGCAGCATGAGTCAAGGTTCTGGACAAATGTCCACTTGTGGTTTCCTCTTGATTTCAGACTACAGTTGATGCAGGAGTTGGACTCGATGATCTTCATGGGTTCCTTGCAACTCAGGTTAATCTATGATTCTGTGATTTTTCAGGCTGACACCTGTCTGAAGCAGGTTGGTTGGTTATAAGAGCTGAGTTCTACAGCCTGGTTAGCCTCAAGTAGGGTCTGGCTTGGGATCCTGGTGGAGTAACTCTTTAAGGCAGTGTTTATGGCTTGTAATTTGTCTTGAAGGGTTTTATATATACGTACATGTGTGTGTCTATGCGTGTGTATCCATACATTATTGCTCAGGAACGTTGTTTCCAATCCTTTTAACTTGTTCAGAAAGCAAACTAGGGAGAAACTGGCAGTGAGTCGGTGCAGCTTGCCAAGCATTGCAGACCAGAGAAGTGGTAAAACATAAACACTTTGGAGTTTATCCTCGAGATTTACACGGCGTGGCTGCTGAGGGCTGCACCTCCACAGCAGTGCTTCTACTGCTGGCAGTGTGTGAGCAAAAGGGCAGTGTGGGGCCGTCTGTCCATCTGCCCCTGCCCTCCCGAGGTCAAACACCACCATGTTGGATGCTCTGTTGGCCGCACAGTCTGAGCTTTGGTCAATGGCTGCAGAACAGGTCTGCTTCCCCCATCCCGTGCGCTAAAGTGAAAGCAGACCTCCTTGACACTTAATCAGATTTGAATGTGGTTTTTGGCGTGGCTTTAAAGAGACTGGCAGTGAATAGCTAGTTTTGATGCCATTTATTAAAAACCTCTGGTAGAATTTGTCTCAGAAAGCTTTTGTGCAAGCTGGCAAACGTGCAAGGGTTTGATGCAGTTAATGTATTTTAATCTCTCCTGCACCCCTCTTCTCGTCTGTCATTAACTGTGGGCCTCTCAGCTGTCTGCTCCTTTTCTAGGATGATGGTAGGCTCCACAGAAACCTCTGTTCAAACACAGCCTAAATGAGGTTCCAGGGGCGTGGAGGAAAGTGGGCTTCCTCTGCATGGAGACAGGCTAGGCTGCATGGGTACCACATAAATCTCCACACAGAGGTGTCTCCACTGACCCTCCTTGTCTTCAACCTCATCGGGAGAGAGAAGAGGGCAGATGGATGCAAAATGTTGGTCTTTGACCTCCTCGGTAGCGTGCTTGTGGGATAGGCTCCTTGGGAAGGTCTGGAGTGTCTTCACTGCCCAGGGAGGTGATGGGAGTCACCATTCCTGGAGGTGTTCAAGGAGTGTGTTGAAGGAGCAGTGTGAGTCTTAGGCATGTGGCTTAGTGGGCAATATTGGTGGTAGGTGGATAGTTGAGCTGTATGATCTTAGAGGTCTTTTCTTTTATGTTTCTGTGATTCACCCAGCCTCGGTCCAGCATGAGAACAGTGGACGTTCAGTCTTTTTTCTTAACTTTAACCCTCTTTTGTTCAGTACATCCACCTTCTTTGGGCCCAGAGGACCTTCCCTTCTATCTGAGCCCATTTCTTGCCCTTCATCCACCTTGGAGAATTGTAGGGAAATTTTTCACAGTTTGTGCCTGAAGGTGCTGCAGCCCCTTGCAGTATGGCAGAGGCTGTCAGGAGCACGGCTGAAGGACGATGACATTTGTGCCAGCAATTTGGGCAGTCCCTGGGCCCAGTGCACAGATCGTGCTGACAAGCAGCTCCCTGCCAGCTGTATTTTGGAGAGAGCTCACGTGTCAGCAGAGGGTTCGCAGGGGTCACTCCCATCTCTGCTTTTTGTTCTCACTGTGCGGAAGAGCTTAAAGCTGTGGTCGTGCCCTGGAGCTCTGTGCCTGGTCGAGGGAATGAAGCTGGAGCTGCATTGTATTTAATTTTATGTTGTTTGCTTCATCAAAGAAAAGAAAACCTGGCCTTTCTCTGCCCCTCTTGCTCACGTGAGTCGTGGTGCGAATTCAGTGAGGGGGAGGTGCGGGTGAGGATTGCTCCCAGGAGGGAAGGAGGCTGAGAGACTCTTAAACAAATGAGAACCGAGCGGCTTTGCTCTTCCCCTGTGGTTTGGCTGTTAAATAAACTCACCGAGGAGGCTGGCTGCACGCGCGTGCTGGTACAGGAGTGTGTTTGTATGTGGGCTGGGTTCTGGATGGTAGTGAAGCTAGTGCAGCTCACAAGTCCATTGCACAGTCGGTGGTCATACTTGGATGTCTGCCTGGTTTATTTAGGCTGAAGACAGCAAATGCAAGGTAATACATGGGAACAGAGGAGCCTGAGTGGGTGCTGACCTCTCTTTCGCAGAAGACAAATGGAGGATGCAGGGATTTCATCCTTGGGTGATGCACTCCTTGAAGGAGCGATGCAGAAGTGGCCTTCGCTGGCTGTGCAGACTTTCTAGAGCTTGCATGAATGGTTATGGTCAGAGCAAAGCTAATGTCGCCTTTTCCTATTTTCCTTTTCCCTTTCCAGGTTTCCACCTCAGTGGGACGGTGACAGAGCCAGCGACTGCGACAGAACCAGAGATGACCTACAAGGTGGCCATCAGCTTCGACCGCTGCAAAATCACATCGGTGACATGTGGCTGTGGGAACAAGGACATTTTTTACTGCGCCCACGTCGTGGCGCTTTCACTGTACAGGATCCGCAAGCCGGACCAGGTCAAACTCCGTCTTCCCATCTCAGAGACCCTTTTCCAGATGAACAGGGACCAGCTCCAGAAGTTTGTTCAGTATTTGATCACAGCACACCACACGGAGGTGTTGCCCACTGCCCAGAAGTTGGCTGATGAGATCCTGTCCTCCAACTCGGAAATCAACCAAGTGCATGGTAATTCCTTGTTCCTTCCTCGCTGGCTCAGCACTAATCCACTTGTTTGGGTCTGGGGCTGGTGGCCTTACAGTGGTGGTGGTGGCCGTTGTTCTGCCATGTTTATTGCTGGCAGTGTCAAACTGGTGGTAGAAGTGGGCAGCGGTACCACTCTGGTGCTGACCACGTGTCCCTGGTCTGCCCTCTGTGGGGATGCAGTGTCAGGGCAATGGGGAGTAAGAGGACAGTGGGGATATGGCTCTTCCAGCACGTGGTGACGCTGTGTCAGCCAGGCCCTGCATCTTGCTAAGTCAGATGTGACCGAGCTGGCAGGAGATAAAGCTTTAATCTCCATGGGCGCTAATTTGCCCGTAATAAATGAGTGCTGCTGCCCTGACCTACTGCACAAAGGCAATGAAGGATGTTTCCTGGGGCTTTGTGTTTTAAGGGTGCTTTTGAACTTCCTCCTCTAGAAGGCACCAGCTGGGAGTTGGTGTCCATCCCAGCCTAGGATATGGTGAGTCCCCCTGGGGTCCCTCGGCCAGCACAAGGCAGTGCTCCTGCTGTGTCCTTCTGAGGAGCCCTGGAGCTGAAGTTACCCAGGGCCTCCAACAATGAGCCGGTCTGCACTGCGCCTGTCCCTCCAGCTGTAAAGCGGAGATAATGAATACTTATCTGCCACGGAAGGGCGTTGTGGGGATTAACACATGCCTGTTAGCTGCTCTGAAGATGAAAAGCCCCATATGCAGCCTAAAATAGGATCTGAACTGGTTGCATCCACATGTAGCAGTGAGGCCAGGGGTCCATTTCCATCCTCCTGGTGATGGCAGCTCTGATCTCAAATGTTTTCCCTCACCTCCCTCTTGCTTTTACCTTGGGGGAGGCTTTTGTATCCTCCGCTGGGCCACATCTGCTGTGTGTGTGGTTGTGCTCTGAAATTAATGGTTTGGAGATGCTTCCTCATTTTTTTGGTGTTAAAAAAAGAACGAAGAGCAAGAATCTGGTGAGGTCCATTCCCTCACTGAAGCTGAGATTGGGCAAGATCCCGCCTTCGCCATGCTTTGAGGCTGCATTCTCCCAAGTAGACTGAAGAAAAGCTTTTAAGACCCTGAATATTTATTGCTCTGGAGTCAGCAAAAGGCTGGTGATTGAAGGCCTTACAAAGATACAGATGTTGGCTCTGATTCAATATCTGCCTCTTGTTTTTACAAGTGGTTTTAAAAAACAAAGCAAAAATTCTCTGTCCTTTCAGACTCGTGTGGCTTCGTGCCCTCCAGCATGCAGTTTTGAACTGACAGAGCCACATGGCCTCACCCTATGGGGAAAGTCTGACAGCTGTGTGGCAGCCCCACCAGCAAGCCAGCTCCTCTGTGAGCAGAAGTGCACCCTGTGCACGTTAGAGAGATATAAAACTAATAGATTATAGAATTGTAGAACCATTAAGGGTGGAAAAGACCTCTATGATCATCTAGTCCAACCATCAAGCCAACAGCACCATGCCCATCAAGCCGTGTCCATCAGATGTCCCACCCCACCCCATGGAAAGGAAGGCTCAAAAAAGCCCCACCTTCAGGTTCAGAGTGTGGCTTTGGCTCTTGTCTCCAGACATTGCCAGCTTTTCCCTCCCCGTCCTGCCAATAAAGCCCAACCATGTGGCAGAGGAGTGCTGTGCATGGGGCTCTGGATGTCAGAGCAATCCAGCAGCTCTGCTGGGGCTCCCACTGGACGGGATCCAAGCCTACCCCACATCTCACCTTTCCTAGCTGCAGTTCATGCATTCAGTGAGGGTCCCTGATCCTGGGATTTGAAATCTTTTAGATGCTTTAAATAGTGCTTTATGTGCTTACGTGCATGTTTCTTGGTCTTGACTGGGTCAGGCTCTTGGGGTCACAGCTTTGTTCACCTCTGGGCTGAGGCCAGGGTGGCTTTTGGCTGCAGCTCTGCAACATGAACTAACCCAGCATGTGCCCAGCGACTGAGGTTATTGCACCGTGAAGCAAGAGCAGCCTCTCTAGAAATTATTTTTAACTTCTTTCATTTCTTCTAAGGAAAGGTCCTTTAAGTTTGGGTTGGGTTTTAGTCTGGTGAATGCAGGGCTGCTCCTTCTGTGTTGGTGGTTGGGATGAGGGGTGGGGGAGCAGATGCCGCAGCACAGGGGCATCTATGGAAGTTCAGGTTGGATATTATGAGAAATTTCTATTCAGAAAATGAGGCAGTAGCACAGGCTGCCTAGGGAGGTAGTGGATTCACCATCCCTGTAGGTGTTCAAGGAGCATGGAGATGTGGCACTGAGGGACGTGGTCAGTGGGCATGGACAGTGGGGTTGGACTGGGTGATCTTACAGGTCTTTCCAACCTTAGTGCCTCTATGAATGTCCCTCATCCATCGTGAGTGTCTGCTTCAGAAACAGTGCTGCCCCCTCTGTTCAGAGGTGCTCCTTGCTCCTTCTGTAGTGCCCGAGCAGCACAGGAGGCTGCAGGCAGCCGCCCACAAAGCTCGCAGTAGGGCGTGAGACCTTTGCTCCTTACAGAAGTGTGCACGCGTGTGCTGCTCTCCTGGGCTTCTTTCCTAGAAGGAAATGCAAACTATCCAGTAACGATGCAGCCTCGGAGTGCAGCCAAAGTGCTCCCTCGTTCTCTCAGGGCTCAGTCGGAGCAGCAAGCCTAGGTGTGCCTGGCTGTCTGCTTCCCACTTGACCTCTGCGTGCTGAAGTAGGTCACGTTTCTGTTCTGGCAGATCACTGCAAAGGGCAGTGCACTCACAGCGTGCGTCTCACGTATCGCCCTCCTCCGCTCGTGGCCTCTGAAGTGGCAGCTCGAAATGAGACCGCAGTGGCTTTCAGTGCTGCTTCCTCCCTTGTTTCTGCGTGGCTTTCTGGCTCGCCACAAGGCTGAGGGCTGTCATTACACCAGCAAAATGCTCTGGCCTTTCCTAGGGGCAGCCAGACCCCCGCAGTTAGCAGTGTGCTCTCAAGCCTGTTTTTATTGCTCCCACCGGCAGTGTTGTGAAAGCTCACTGCCTGCCTGGGCGAGTTCAGCCTCTGTCCTCCTGGACACAGTCGTGCACTTGCAGGTGAGGTGTGTGGGGAAAGCTGAAGAACAAGGAATTAAACTCCAGAATGAACTGGGTTTGGTCTGGGAGTTGCAGGGCAACCGTACAGAGGTGCTGGGAGGTTTAACCAGAAACTCCAGGGGAGCTTCAGGACTTTGCTCCAATGGAAATGATGGGCGTTAGAAGTCTGCAGAGCCGTGCTGTCGCGTCCCCATGGCCTGCAGTGGGACCACGGCTGTGATGGGCACAGTGCCACTGCTGGCAACTACTTTGGTCACAGGAGCTGAGAGGTTTCAACTCCCTCAATTGCTGTCAGATGTCTCTGCCTCTTCAGGCTGCCTCCATCCAATCTGCCTCCACTTAAAAATGGAACGGGAGGTTTGGGAGGCTCAGTGGAGCTTGGTTCCTTTCTCCCTTGCTTCACCGCTATTTTTACCCCTTGTTAGAGTTCATTTCCTTTCTGGTGCCTGGTTATTTTCTCTTTGAGGTTTCTGTTGTTTGTTTATTTGTCCGTATCCTCCCCCTCTGCTCCCTCTCCGTTCTGGGTGGCTCTTCCTTCACTCCTGGTTTCTATCCAAATGCTGGAGATGCAGCCTGGAGACTTTTGGCAGCACCACGTGCAGTCATGAGATGGCTTCTGTGAACTGCTCCATGGTCTGGAAGCTCACCAGGACCAGGATGGGTGCGTTTGGCTCTTCTGCCCAGATGTGGGAGATCTCAGTGTGAGCCATGGGCATCCCAGTGCTTCTGCAGCCCCAGAAACATGCTCCCCTCCAGGCACTTTGCTTTTCTTCGCCTTCCACAGCTAATTTCTGAGCAAGGTGTTAGATTTTCCATGTCTGGCTTTGTTCCGCTTTCTCCCCCATTGATTTTTTCCAGCCCTTATTTCCCACTCTTCTCATCCCCTCTGGCTGGGTCTCTCGTGGGTGCCAAATAGTTAAGTGCTGAGCCCACGACAAGGGAGAGGTCCTAGCTGCTGTGATTGATGGCGTTTTTATCTGTGTTTCTACAGCCAGCGCGAATGGGTTTGTGAAACACTCTTTCCACTCAGGATGTATGCTGGTGTTTCCTTAAATCTGAATCCCGCAGGACAAAGATCAAGCACATCTGAAACAGGCTCTTTGGAGCAGGAATGCTGCTATATGAGAAACGTGTTACGCAGGCTGGGGGCTGTGTTACATGCCGTTCCCTGCTAGTTTGGAGCAGAGACATGGAATTGCTCATCGGCTACGTCACAGCATGCCATGGGGACGCCACCACGGTGCGAACGTTGGCAATGGGAAGTGGGCAAATCCTGCCATGAATATTTAAACGCCACGCAAATCCTCTTGTTTGCTCTTAAATGTTGATCCAGCTCCCCGGTGTAATTGGGTAGCCCATTATCTGCCTGTTTGTGCGGCGTGTGTGGGAATCTGATATTACAACCCTCTGTATGAATCTTTTATGGGAGAGCAAAATAAATTTACGAGTAAACGTGGGTTTTATTTGGAGTGGCGAGAGCTGTGTTGCTAATTTAGCTGTGGTCAGAACCCAAACGTGAGAAGTGCTCAATGTGTTGTGTGGGAGGAGGAGATTTTATTTAGCTACATGCTTCTTTCCGTGCCGTCTGCGCTTTCCGCTGCATGCTAACACTGGGGTTAGCCTGGGAACCCTGCAAAAACACAGCCTCTTTGTGCATCTCACCGAGCCTCTGCTTTGAGCTGTCCCAGTGCCCTTGATGAGGAGCGAGCTGAGCATTTGTGCATGGATCTCTAGGTGTCTGCACCCTTCAGCTGTGGACAGATGACCCCATGGAGGCTGATGAGCCAACCTGGCTGATCTGGATAGCTGGGAGGAGTGGGCAGGCTGCTCGGAGGAGGATATTAAGAGCACAAGCATCTCAGCAACCCCAGTGATAGGGGCCGGATAAGCATTCGTGGCAGACAGATTAGTCATCGGTTCCTGATACGGGATAATCACTGGCTTGTCTGCTCTTTATCTGCAAGGGGGAGCGAAGATAAGGATGGACTTGGGGGAGGAAAAGAAGAGACACAGAAAAGCTGAGATGCGCTGTTGTGCTGCCTTATGACAGCGGGGAGCAGGGCTGGGTCACGTGCGGAGCTGGTTCCCTCCTTCCCAGCACAGGGCTGTGGGCAAAAGCGGTTTCCTTTCTGCTGCTTCAGATCCTGTCCCAATTACGTTGTTCTGTCAACTATAAGTTATTCCGCAGAGGGAGCAGCAGCAGCATCCTCTCCCTCCAGCACGGTACGGGCAGCGCCTGGGGCTTGCTGGAACAGCTCTCAGGCAGCAATTATTAGCAGAAATTAAAGGAATTTTGTAAAGGACATTAAATACAAATAGCTGTATCTTTTTGGGTCAGGAGCACTCTCAGCCTTTGCCGGAGGAGCAAAACCCCTCCGGTTGATGTCCTCTCGTTTATAAGCCAAGAAGAGACAGTCGCCTCGTGAGCAGTCTGGAGCTGGCTTTCCATGAGCTGCTTCAGCTCTTGGCTCCACATCTCTCAGTCAGTGCTGGGGTGTGTACCCAAAGCGGCAGCAAGGAGTGGTGGAAGAAGAGATGGCTGCTTCCCATCTGGGGCCCACTGAAGCGTCCTTGTAGAACTTTGGGCTGGGCTCCTGGCCCCTCCTGGAGCTGTATTTCTGCTTGCCCCTTGTGCTCATGAAGCTGAAGATGTTGCTAGGAGGTAGAAAAGGCCTTGGGAAAAATGGGAATTGAAAGGGTCAAGGAAGGCTCAGGAGGGATCCATGTAGTTGTTTAAGATGCTTGTGGGCTTTTTCCTTTTGTGCTCTCCATGAGATGAGGTCTCTGCATCCTTCATCCAAGAGTACCTCTGTGAAATTGCTTCCAAGAGATAGGAAAAGTTTACAGACTCAGCTTTATGGATGCTGAAACAAATCCACAGTGTGGAGCAGGAGGAGAACCTCAGGCAATCCCAGGAGACGCAGAAGGCTCGGGGCTGTGCAGCTGCTGTGCCTCAGCATGGGGTATAGCAGTAGGAGAGGAATGGCCTTCACTGTTGTCCTCCCAAGCATCACCCAGTGTGTCTTTCACTGATGGTGAAAGCTGGGCCAGTGTAGACCTTCCTTGGTGCTACCCTAGACTCATTAGGAGGGATGAGCAGGGTTGTAGGCATTAACACTATGTTCAAGATCCCTTTTAATGGTTGCTATTGCTGCCACCACCATGGGAGGAGAGCCTGATGTTGTTGGTGGGAGGGTTGGTTTGCTCTCACTTGAGCTGATAAAAGAGATGGGCCATTTCTTGCTCTCCATGAATGCCAACTCTGCTGCTACAAACCTCATTGTCTCTTTTTCTTCTTTCCCTGTCCCCCAGGCGCTCCTGACCCTACTGCTGGGGCCAGCATTGATGATGAGAACTGCTGGCACCTGGACGAAGAGCAGGTCCGAGAACAGGTGAAGCTGTTCCTATCTCAGGGAGGGTACTACGGCTCGGGGAAACAGCTCAACTCCATGTTCGCCAAGGTGAGGAGGAGCCAGCCCTGCTCCCTTTCCTGCTGCGCTCTGCACGGCGCGTCACGTAGCAGGCAGCCCGCTGGCTGCCCTGGCACGGTGCCCATCACAGCTGGGAATCTCTGCTCCAGTGCCTTCTCTCCTGGCCGCTGAGCTGGCAGTTGTAATCTAGGCTCTGGGTCAGGCTTGGGCTGTACTCTCCCTCCAGGCAGGTCCCTGCCTCCCGCACAGTGGTTCTTCATGAATCAAGGCTTTCCCCCCATCTCTCTGTTAGCGTGGTGAAGGGAAATCCACCGTGGCCATCCAGCTAGGGTGAGGGAGTTGGCATCCAGGTGACCTCATCCAGGAGTTGGACTTGATGATCCTTATGGGTCCCTTCCAACTTGGGTTATTCTATGACTGTCTTAGACACCTCCAGGGGATCATGGCTTTTCTCACAAAGAGCCTTCTCTCTGTCCTTTCCAGGTCCGGGAGATGCTGCGCATGAGGGACTCCAACGGGGCCAGGATGCTGACGCTGATAACGGAGCAGTTCATGGCCGACCCTCGGCTCTCCCTCTGGAGGCAGCAGGGGACGGGCATAACAGAGAAGTGTCGGCAGCTCTGGGATGAGCTGGGTAAGGGCCACCAGGAGCAGCAGCAGGATGAGCGGGGCTGCTGAGACTGCACGCCTTGTTCCATTGGATGTTGGAGCTCATCCAGAGCTCACCCTAGTTTCCCAGCCAAATCCTGGTGGGACAGCTGGATCAGGCCCAAACTGCACATTTCAGCACCTTAAACAAACCAGCTCCTCTCCTGCAAAGGAGCCAGGGTTGATGTGTTTGCAGGGTGGCTTGTCCCATGTTTGCAGCATCTTGAAGCATGTACTGTGGTAAGGCATGGAAATGGCAATGCCTTGGTGCCAGAAAAGCCCCTTGTGTTTCTGTGCTTCAGAAAGAGGAAGTCTTGTCCTAGCTAATAAATAGTTTCCAGAATGAGTGGGAAGGATGGGCAATGCAGAGCCTGGCTTTAAGAGAAATACAACTCTGGATAATTCTAGCTAAGCACCTTAGACACCAGCTCAGCTGGCTGATGATGTAATATGTGTAGTATCATTAGAATAAAACATTTAGATGACCTGAGCCCTGAGGGGATGGTTGTGTGGTGGAGTTGACCCAACAGTCATGGGCTCTCCTGGATGTATGGGTGAATAGTTTGACTTGTGCCATGGATTCACTGTGAGTCTGAGCTGTTCTGCTGCCTGGTGGTGGGAGATGCTGTTCAAAGGGCTGGACCAGCTCATGGGCTGAGACCAAAGAGATGTTGTAGAGCTAGAAGGATCAGGGTGGTCCGTGGTCTGGAGCCATACCCGTATGAGGAAGACCTTTGTGAGTTAATGTGCTTTGATGTGCAGGAGAGACTTGGGGAAGGTGTACTACACATGTAAAATCAGGAATGGCTGATGAAATTGCCAAGGAGGTGAGCATAGGGCAAGCGAAGGTATTTTTATCAGGCAGAAGGTGTTTCTTATCAGTTTGATAAAAATTGACTTCATGGCATGGTGAAGCTAATGTGATGGGAATCTCTGAGGCTGAAAGCTTGGAGGAGGAGGAAAATTATTTGGAAAAATAGGAGAGAAAAGGGCTGTTGAGTAGAGATGCCACTTCTCTTTCAAGAAGTTCTTGAGTCACAGATTGTGGGAGGGTGGACAGTGGAGTATCTCTCCAAATTTGCCCTGCTCTTATGGTTTTTCCTTATATGCCTGTCCCTGCGGTGGGAAACAAGAAGCCAGGTAGGAGGTCTCAGTCGCCGGAGCAAAAACTTCTGGAGTTCATCAGTTGCCATGCTGTCAGAGCAGTAGCGTGGTGAAGCCATAGTTTTTCTGATGTAGCTCAAGAATTCCCTCCCTAAATTCACACTGCCCTATATGGTCTTGTCTGCAAAATAGTTGATAACCGGCAGTCGGCTGCCAGGCTGCTTTGGCTTTCAAAATGTCCTTGGCACAATCTGTCTGTGTGGTGGGCTGGGGTTGGAAGCCTTCTCGCGGCAGCAGTGCAGGAATGGCACAGACGAAGGGCTGGGCAAGGAGGGATGCCTTGCTCCTGCCTGCGGTTCCCTGGATGGAAATAAACACACGAGCTCTGCAGAGCTGATCCTGGCCTGCCTGCCAGAAAGATATTTCCAGGATTTGGAATGGTTGGATACTCAAGAATCCTAGAGAGGTGGCCAAATCCACCACGCCAGAATTTCCACATGGAGGAAAGCAAACACATCTGTGAAACATGGTTGTATGGGTGTCTAGGCAGGCCGGGATGCAGCAGTTTGCCCAGAACTGCAGATGATTGAGATGGTGTCGGCACGGTGCTCAGGGACAAGTGATCAACTGTATGTAAGGGATGCCAAAGCTGCACCAGCACTGCTGAGCATTATCAAATGGAGAGGGCAGGAGGGGAGATAACCTATGCCAGATGCTGCATCCAGCCCCAGACATTATTTTGGGCAAGCATTTAATAACGAATCGTCGATTTTAACAAAGACTGCATCACCAACTTGTGTGGGATTGGAAGATCAGCCCTAAAGAAGATTGTGGATTTATACTGGGTAAAATGTAAAGGATTTTGCAGGATTTCAGAGTTTTAAAAAAAGAAATAAAAGGCATCGTTTGCGTGTGCATGTGCTGCCAACTGAGCATCTATTGCCCCGTCTGCTGGGGAGCCAAGGGAAAGACCCGCTGGATCGGGAGCTGTGCGGCGTGGGAGTATTTGCCCTGGCGCATTACTACTTACGATTAAAGCCTAATTACAAAAAATAGACGAAAAACCAGCTGAAGTGCAGCCTGACCTTAATCTGCCTGGAGACGGGTTTATTTATCTCAGCCACTTGTTTACAGTGGGGAATTTCAGGAGATTAGACCAGGGAGCGACCCTGTGGGAAACGGGAGAATTTCTTTGATGGCTTGGAAACTTCAGTGCAGGATCCGAGTGCCTGCCCTCCCTGGGGCCGGCAGCAGGGACGCTGGGGTGGGAAGGCTCCTGTGACCCCCCCTTTCCACCCAGCCCTGCAATCAAAAAGCATTTTTGTTCAGAGGCTTAGCTTAATCGTGATCTGCCTTTTTGTTCCCCACTTAACCTTCTGCTATCGGAAAGTTCAGATGAAGGTTTCTGCAGCATGTGAGCAGACACGAAGGCTGACCCAGCTCAGCGTATCGGCTTGGGACAAGAGTCAGTCATGCTGTCACTTGGCCAAACGGCTCCAAAAACCCAACTTGTCCATTTCCCAGACTGCTACCTCAGTGCTTCTCCCCTGAGACAGATGTGAATCCCTCTCCCCAGCTTGTCCCCACCCCATCTTCCCTTCTATAGGAGAGCCTGGGGGCACGCTATTTTGGCAGCCAAAGGATACCTTGGAGCGTTCCCAAAAATAGCCTGTGAAGACATGAGGATCCCTATAGGATCGGGTCCTAGTGGAGCAACAGGAGCCAAAACTCAGCAGGCGCATGGTGTTCTTGGCTGCGGCGGAGCAGGGTCACCAAGCCCCGTCACCGAACCTCGCTGCCTCTCCAGACTGAGAAACAAGCTGAGAGACAACTGTGCAAGATGTTGTACCACTGCTCATGTACCCCAGAGCTCTGCGTGGCCCAGAGACAGGGCACGGTGTTGCCATAACCAAAGCCTGGTGGTGCTGTGGTGGATCTACCAGTGGGCACCTCTGCTTGTGCCAAGGAGAGCTCTGGCTGCCAGGCATCACACTGAGCTCTGGGTTCCTCTGCTGCGGACTGGGGGCTGCTGGGGATTAAAAAAAAAAAAAGAGAGAAAAAAAGAGAGAGAAAGGAAGAAAATACACCAAATCTCCTTTATAAATAGTTGAATGCAAATGGCCCGAAGAACAATGGCAGATGAAATAGCATTCTGAGCGGGCTTTAAAGCACTGGGAACGTGGGTAGGATCAAAATCAGGTTAGTCTTTGGAGATACAGACTCTGCAGCTTGCCAGGATGTTTTTAAGCATGCTTTGATGTGTAGTTCAAACAGTAGATTTGTCCTGGCAGACAGAAGCACTCACAAATTCATACACAGCCGGTCTCCTCTTCCCTCCTCCCCACTGTCCCCCATCTCATGAGATTATAATTTAGCTTCATTACAGAGGAGTTTTACTTTTATTTGAAAGCTGTCTAAATCCCCCTCCTGGGTCTGTGCATTGTGCTGCTGTGAGTTTATGGATGCTGAGGAAACATTGCAGGCGGTGGGAAGGCAGCGGCCGGGCAGTGCTGGGGAGCACAGCACATCCCTCACCTCTCGGCTTTGTTTAGGGGCACTGTGGGTGTGTGTCGTGCTGAACCCTCACTGCAAGCTGGAAGAGAAATCCTCCTGGCTTCGGCAGCTGCGCAAGTGGGGCGAGATGGACGTGTGTCCCCTCGAAGATGGCAATTATGGCAATGAGCTTCCCAACATCACCAATGCGCTCACGCAGAGCTCCAGCCACAGCCAAGGTGAGTTCGGGAATCTGCCAAAAAAATGCATTTCTGTAAGGGAGAGATTCTTTGGTTTGTGAGGGGATTGGGGTTGTGTTTTCAGAAGTTTGCTTCTTGCAAGGTTCTGAGTGGTGCTGTTTGGAGGACAGCTCATGCTTGGTGCTGTGCTCATACAGACCCAACTCGGCGTGCTGCTGGGTGCTGGCACATGGGCTGAGCAGGCACTGAGTGCTGGCTCAGGGCTGCTCCCACTGACGTCAATGGGAATCTCACTCTGGGAGCAGTTGGACTGTGATGAATGCTTTGAAAAATCCTCCCCTCCCCCCAGAATATATCCCAGCGCAGTGCAGGGCTCTGGGGAGCTATGGGGCCATCAGCTGGACTGTCCATTCTGAAGCTGGTTTGGGGGCACACACGTGGCTCCTGGTTCTGCTTCCTGTGATGGTGTCAGCCCTGAGCAGACTGGCACCCTGTGTTTTCCTGGTCACTGGCACTGCTTGAATTGTTGCAGAGCTGAACTCCAAAGCCCGTGCTAAAAGGTGGAAGTGGCACTGAGGGACATGGTTAGTGGGCATGGTGCAATGGGCTGGCAGTTGGACTAGGTGATCCTAGCGGTCTTTTCCAACCCTAATGGAGTCTGTGATTCTATGAAAGCAAGGAGTGAGGTGGAGCAGAGCCCCTTCCTTTGGCCCAAGATAGACATTAATTGAAACTCACTGCTCTCGCAGTGCCTCCATCTGCTGCATGAGAATTGGCTGTGGGTTTGTTACACATAGCCATGGAGCAAACTGCACCGTGCTGCTGTCCCTGGCCGCACGCCGGGCATCCCATGTGCACATCACAGGCTGGGAGCAGCTTGCCTTACAGCTGGCCTCGCTCCAGCTCTACATGGCCAGGACTGCCCGGTGCTCCCAGCCCTGCCGCTCTTCGGGGCAGGTCACATTCTGGGATATGGCACGGTGTTTCCAAAGTGCTTGGGATGAAAACAGAGCTGGGATGTATCCTAGGGCTGGTGGTTACGAGTGTGCAAATAGCGCAGTGAACTGCTGCCAGCCTCCTTTATTACTGTCGGGCAACGGCTGATTGCCGAAATCCTTCCTGCCCAACTCAACCTGGCGTAGGGTCGGTACTGTATGCACGAACACCTGTTTAATTTCTATCCACCTCGGGGTGCCTGCAGCATTCAGGCTAATTGCTTGTTGCCATTGCTTCCAGAGCGTGTTTACCCAACCTCCTGGCTCAGCACTGAGCGGAGCCCTTTGTTTTCCCCTCCCCGACGCGTCTATCTGCAGGACCTCGCGTTCCACGTTGCGCTGCGATCGAGGCTCCCTGTTTTGCAACACACGGCTGCTTTTTGCCCTCCTGTTCCAGCGTGGCTGGGCGATAGCAGGAGGGCTGCAGACAGCCCAACAAAGCGCCCGGCTGCTCTGTCTGGATGGGGTGAAAACCTCCTCCTGCCCTGCAGCTCCCAGACGGGAAGCGAGCGCTACCTGCTCCCGCTGTCTGTGAGAAACAATAGCCCAACAGGAGAACAATAGCCCGGCAGAAATGTCAGCTAGAAGAGCCAGACCATGCAATTGCTAGATACATCAGAGAGCAATAAGCAGCAGCTGGATTTGTTGCAAGCCTCAGCCCCGTTGTATGGGCAAACCTCTGTGTAGAGAGGGGTCACATGCATGGGCATAAGTCTAGTGAGCAGGCTGCTCTGTTTTTTTTCTTCCATTAATACACAGCACGCCTCATTAATGCATTAATACATAACGAGCTTTATTGTTTTGGGTTGCATACAAGCATTCAATAGCTTTGAAAATGACATTTTGTTTGCAGAGCAGCTGTGTGAAGGAGCACAACCATTGCTGCAGGGAAGCAGTGGGGTTCAAGACGATGGATGCCCTCTCCTTCCTTCCCAGTCCTCTTGCACACACTGTGGTGTTTACTGGGGGAGGTGATGGTCACCCCAATTTGCCCCGATGCCAGTGACGTGCTCAGGGCTTCCTTTCAAGCCTGTCAAGGTGCAAGGTGACCCTGGGGCTGAGCAAGGGGACATGGTTTGGTGGGCATGGTGGTGATGGGTTGGTGATTGAATTGACCTTGGAGGTTTTGTCCAACCTTAGTGATTCCATAAGGTGCAGGAGGGTCTCACTGCTGCTCTAAGGCTCTGACAGTTTTTCTCTTTGCAGACTCACTGGCCAGGCCCAGACGAACCGTGTTCACCCGTGCCATTGAGGGCTGTGACCTGCACTGGCAGGACAGCCACCTGCAGCGCATCATCAGCAGTGACTTCTACGTGTCCCCTGCCTACCAGCGGGAAGGCGAGAGTCTGCTCTTCAACTCCCAGGGGCAGCCACTGTGGCTTGGTAAGTATCCAAGCAGCAGTTCCAGTGTGGCCTGGCTGGGTGGGTTGGTTTGCTCATGGAGAAGGACCACCTGAAGCATCAAAGGAGTTTTGCTACCCTGCATCCTTGCAAGGTTCAGTGTTGTAAATTGAAAATATCCTGACAACCTAAACTTTAAAACCTCAGTAACTAAGTGTCCCAGCATGAGAGCAGGTGAGACAGGAGGCTTATGGGTTCCTTGTAACTGTCACCACTCAGACTCACCTCTGAAAAGATGTGAGCCCTTGCATTTCTGGGAGTTTAGATGCCTCATCCACACAGCAAGGGAGGAGAATGTACAGATATTGAAAGGCCAGAGCCCACCACTGCTCTGTCCTTTGCTGGCATAGGTAGAGCAGGAGAGGACATTTCTACTCCGGGATGGATTTCCCATAGCAGCTGTAGGTGGTGGCATGGGGCTGGTGGTTCTGTGGATTGCATCTAGAATAGATGTGATGAACACATCTCCATTTCTGTGGCACAGACTCTGGTGAGCCCTTAGGCACAGCTGGTTGATACAGTCACCTTGATTTTGGCTTTAGTGCTGTTGCTTCCTTGGTGCCCCTTCAGAGAAGTTGTGCTGGGACAGGAGTGAGGTTTGTCAGCAGCTTGCATGATGAATTCAGTGAGAAGCTGAATGTTTCATCCATTTAGCAGACAAAAGGAGTGAACAACAAGCAGCTCTCTCATAGATGTGTTTGTTCTTAAACCTCTTCCTCATGTTCCTTGCTAGTGACCTCTGGGACGTGGAAACCTCATTTGTGGAGGTGGCTGTCTGCATTTCCAAAGCTCTCTGATCTTTTCCAGGAATAGAAATGATCCTTCTGCCATAACTTTAGATCTTCTGTGCTTGCCTTTTTTTTTTTTTTTCCCCTTGGTAGGACATTCTGCAAGAAAATGGGATTTTTGCTGCTTGTTATGCGGCATGTCATGTCATCTGCTCCTGCTAATTTCTCACTCAGTCATAATCCTCTCCACAGTTACTTGTGATTTCAGGTGAGCAATGAGCAGCAGGAGCAGATGAATTTCTAAGCAACTTTGAGTCTTGGGGGTTTCACGCAACTGTTCCTAATAATAAAACACCAGGTAGGAGGGCTGTGGAAGAGATGAAGTCTCTATGGAGCTCACTCCATGCAGCAGTCACAGAAGCAGTTCAGAATGTCATCCCAAATCTGTCAGTGTCCCCAGCACAGAGCTGAATGCACTCTGCCACTGCTTCCCCTACATACGGTTTGTGGGGGTCAGGCTTTAGGGGCTGCGCAGGCTGGACATGGGGAGAAGTCCCATGAGTATTCCTGGTGGGCATCCCAGCGAGGTGCAGTGGGAGAGGAAGGACATACAGGCTTGCAGCTGGGGTGTGGCGCAAATGATAGAAGATGCCCTGAAGCCTGGTGTTGTCAGGTTTTCTTCCCCATCCCCTGGATTTCTGCTCTCCCTTGGCTCAGCCCGCCCTGTGTCTGCCCTTGCCTTATAGAACACGTCCCGACAGCCTGCGCTCGGGTGGACGCCCTGCGCTCCCATGGCTATCCCCGGGAAGCTCTGCGCTTAACCGTTGCCATCATCAACACCCTGCGACTGCAGCAGCAGAGGCAGCTGGAAATTTACAAGCATCAGAAGAAAGGTAGGAGCAGAGGGGCTGGAGAAAGGGCTCGCAAGGCTGGGGTGTCCCAGGTGGGGGGGAAGACTCTCAGAGCTCAGAGGTGGGGCAGCACTGTATGGGACTTGTGCACCCAAAAGGACAAACTGGCCCAATTGCTTGAGCCAGTGCCACTGTACCCATACATTAAGGACGCAGAGATGCCCAGGGACACAAGCTGTTCCTGCTGTCTGGTTGCGTGCATGCATTGCATGGGTGATAGCAGGTGATGCTGCTTGCCCGCAGCGCTGCAGTAGCTGGCTGCTTGTGCTACCTCCACACTGCATTTGCATTTGCTGAGTAACATGGACCAGGAGACCAGAGCAGTGTAGCTTATTTTGCATTTGCAGTTGGCAGAGAGTTGGGGCTGGTTGCTGCAGTGCTGATAGTGGTTGGTACTCCTCTGGGCCTTGCTAGCTCAGCCAGTTTGAGAGCATGCCTTCCAAATCATTCAGCAACTGCTTCATGGACACTACTGTGTGCTCCTGGGGACTGAGGGTGAGCCACTGCATCTCCTCCAGCTTGTTGGAGCACCTTTTTGTAGTGGGTTCCTGCTCCTCCTGTTGTCTGAGCGCCCTTGTGGTGGCTGCTCTGAACTGCTCATGGCCCTTGGAAATTTCCCATGGCTCCTGGAGGTACCTGTGTCCCTAGCCCATGGGGTAAGAAAAAGCCTCTGGAGACCTCTCTGGGAGAAGAATTCATCATAAAGTCCTTACTATTAATTTCTTTTTGTTTTTTTTTTCCTCCTTCTTTTTCAGAGCTGCTGCAGCGAGGTGCAACAACCATCACCAACCTGGAGGGCTGGGTAGGCCACCCTCTGAACCCCATCGGCTGCCTTTTTCTCACACTGACCGAAGCTTGTAGATTAGAAGAGGAAAATTGCCTTGAAATCTCAGGTACTGAGTGCTCCCTCACTCTCTGCCAGGCAGCTCCAACTGGTCCTGGGTGCAGTGCTTGGCCTCAGAGCTCCTGAGCCCCACACTTCCTGTCCCCAAACCCTGGGGTTTGCAGCAGAGCAGGGCAGCTGCTTGGCAGAGCTGGGCCAAGATATGCCCTTCTGGGAAAGGCTCTGTTATCAGCTGTGTGTCCTCTTGCATGTGTCTCAGGGCTCCTGTCTCACAGTCGAGAGCAAGGAGAAGGGTAAAATCTCACATCTCCATGGGTAACCAAAGGCAGGCAGCAAAGGAAGCGTTGGGTCTTGCTTCTGAATTGAAAAGGTTTTTTTCTCAGCCCTGGTTCTCTCACCTAGAGAGGCTCCTCTAACTCTTCTGTACTCTCCCCTTCTTCCAGACTCCGGGGACACCAAACCCCCTGTTTACCAACACGTGCCCGTCACAACCGGCAGCCAAGACAGCGGCGAGTCCTACCTGTCCCTGGCCTTGGAGGTGGCCCTGATGGGGATGGGCCAGCAGAGAGTGATGCCTGAAGGCCTCTATGCCCAGGACAAGGTGTGCCGCAACGAGGAGCAGATCATAGCCCGTCTGCAGGACCTGGAGCTGGACCCAGTGCTGGTGCAGACCCTGAGGAAGCAGTGCATCCTGCTGCTGGAAGGTGAGGGCTTCTCTTTGGGGTAGCGAAGACAGCTTTGGGGTAGCCAGATACTAATGCTAGTGATGCATTCGTGATAATGATGGCCAATGGGCTTTGCTTCTAGGTGGCCCCTTCAGTGGCTTGGGAGAAGTGATCCACCGTGAGAGTGTCCCTATGCACACCTTTGCCAAATATCTGTTCTCTGCCCTGCTGCCCCACGATGCTGACCTGGCGTACAAGCTGGCTTTGCGGGCCATGAGGTTGGTGCATGACTTGTTCTGACTTTTGTTGTGGGGAAACCAGACGTCTGATGCTCCCTTTATCCATGGGGATGTTTCCTTTCTGTAAGCCCTGGGATTGATGACACTCAGGTTAGGAAATGGGAGTGTGGAAGGGCTGACATGGTTCTGCCACTGCAGCAAGTGAAGCTGGGCTCCTGCTCTTTCCCTTGACTTCCTGAGATTTTGAGGCTTTGGAATATCACCACTCAGGCAGGGAACCAAAAACCACTGCAGAGGCCCTGGGGAAATGTACTGCTGCTTCTGATCATAACTGGGCATCTTAAGGAGAACCAGATGATGCAGACAGGAGTGCTGTTGGGCGCTTTGACATGAAAGGAGCACAGAGGGAGGAGGGCTTTCTCTTTTTCTTTTTTTTCTTGCCTTTTTGTTGTTTTTTTTTTTTTTTTTCCCCTGATGCTTGTGTTTTTCCTTCCAAGTTTATAAATCACTTCACGGATCGTTCTCCTCCTTTCAAGTAGATCTGAGATTGATCCCCATGCCCATGTGGCGTGCACGCAGCCCAGCAGCCCCTGCATGTGCATGGCAGCAGGAGGCTTTCAGAGGCACTGCAGGATACATCCCCCTCCTCACTCCCCATCAGCACATCTGGGGCTGACCTGACATTGTCTCCTCTGTTTGTCCTTCAGGTTGCCAGTGCTGGAAACCACAGCACCGTCTGGTGATGTGACTCACCCCCACCACTTGGTTTCAGTGGTCCCCAGCAGGTACCCGCGCTGGTTCACCCTGGGGCACCTGGAGTCACAGCAGTGCGAGCTGGCATCCACCATGCTCACGGCGGCCAAAGGTTGGTGTGGGACCAGGGGTGATGGATGGGTAGCTGGCCAAAGGCTGGGGAGGGATTTGGTGGAGAGCAATATTGCAGGAGTGATGGGGAGGGGGTCTACTGACAGACAGCAGCATAGAGTCTCCTTGCCCCATCCCTGGAAGTGTCCAAGGCCAGATTGAATGGGACCTAGGCAGCCTGAGCTGGTGGGGGGCAAAGCCCATGGCAGGGGTTGGAATGGATGGGCTTTAAGGTCTCTTCCAACCTAACCTGTTGTATGACTGTCTCCATCCTGTCCTCCTCCATCTCTCTGCTTGTTCAGGGCTGATAGCGTCATGCCTCTCCTTGCAGGTACCTGGATGGAAGTGTTATCCTTATTTTCTCAGCCCCTTGTGGGGATGAGAGCTTTATGCTGGGGCTGTAGAGCTGGTGGATTACATCTGTTTCTCCTGCTGTGTCTTTCCCTGGGTGTTTCCCCGCCACAGCATGTCCCAGTGCGATCCTGTGTCCTCACAGCGTTTCTCACCCACGCCCCCGCTAGCCATTTTTGGGAGATTTGGATGCTGATGGTGGTGCAAGCGGCTGCTGTGGGTGGCAGGCGATATATTTAGCTATTAGTCATCCGAGATGTCTGTGTGTACCCAGGTGCAGCTCTAGGGTTTTCACATTGCTGTGTGTTTTTTTTCAGTTTTCTTTGCATGAGGTTCATCTGCTCTGTTGGTGACTATGGGAGTAGAAACACGAATCTGGAACAAGACAGGGTGATGGGGCATGTCAGCATCTCTGGTCTGTGCTCACACCAGAGGCCCCTCTCCCCACTGTGTCCAGGAGGGGCTGATGTGCCCCACAAAGCTGAGCTGGGGGTTCAGGCTTGGGGTCAAGTCAGGAACCTGTGCGGGGGTAAAGTGGTTTCCAGGGAAGCATCATGATGCTATGGCCAGTGAGGGCATGGATAGACTGCACATCCTGGGTGATACAGTAAAGCTGGATGTTACTGGGGGGAAGCTAAGCCATCTGACCATCCTTGCCTGCATCCAGGGGACATGCTACGTCTGCGCACGGTGCTGGAAGCCATCCAGAAGAACATCCACTCCTCCTCCTTGATCTTCAAGCTGGCCCAGGACGCGTTCAAGATCGCCACACCAGCTGACAGCAACTCAGACACAACACTCCTCAATGTTGCGCTGGAGCTGGGGCTCCAGGTATAGGATAGCACGGGGATGCTTGTGGCCCTTCTGCCCTACTAACTCTGGTGATGGTCTTCTACCAAGCACATGGTTGCTCATGGCACGCAGGGGTCTCATGGAAGGGGTGCATTCATCATTGCATGGCCTAGAGAAGTAGAGCTCTGCTGAGGTTTGGGGGAAGTTTTGGGTGAGGAAGCACCTGAAAGCTTCACAGGGAGTCAATAATGAGCAGGGTCATGGAGAATTTGGGGGAGCACTGTGGTGTTGGGTGGCCTCGGTGGATCCCCATAGAGTAGAGGGTCACCCTGTGTTTGCCTCGCAGGTGATGCGCATGACCCTGTCCACCCTCAACTGGCGGCGGCGGGAGATGGTGAGGTGGCTGGTGACATGCGCTACGGAAGTGGGTGAGTGTCTGGCCCACATGTGGTGGAAGAAGAATTGGCACAGGGATCCCTAAAGCCACTTATGGCCCTGGGCTTGAGTTTCTGAGCTCTCCTGACCCCTGTGTCTCTTGCAGGAGTGAGAGCTCTGGTGAGCATCCTGCAGAGCTGGTACTCGCTGTTCACCCCCACGGAAGCCACCAGCATCGTGGCGGCCACGGTGATGTCCCACAACACCATCCTGCGCCTGAGCCTGGACTACCCGCAGCGGGAGGAGCTGGCCAGCTGCGCCCGCACCCTGGCCCTGCAGTGTGCCATGAAGGACCCGCAGAACTGCGCCCTGTCCGCCCTCACCCTCTGCGAGAAGGACCACATTGCCTTCGAGACCGCCTACCAGATCGTCATCGACGCCGCCTCCACCGGCATGACCTACACCCAGCTCTTCACCATCGCCCGCTACATGGAGCACCGGGGCTACCCGCTGCGGGCCTTCAAGCTGGCCTCACTGGCCATGACGCACCTCAACCTGGCCTACAACCAGGACACGCACCCGGCCATCAACGACGTGCTCTGGGCCTGCGCCTTGAGCCACTCCCTGGGCAAAAACGAGCTGGCGGCCATCATCCCACTGGTGGTGAAGAGCGTGCACTGTGCCACGGTGCTGTCGGACATCCTCCGCCGCTGCACCATGACGGCCCCAGGGCTGGCCGGCATCCCCGGCCGCAGGAACTCGGGGAAGCTGATGTCCACCGACAAAGCACCCCTGCGGCAGCTGCTGGACGCCACGATAAGCGCCTACATCAACACCACCCACTCGCGGCTCACCCACATCAGCCCGCGGCACTACGGGGAGTTCATCGAGTTCCTCAGCAAGGCCAGGGAGACCTTCCTCCTGGCGCAGGACGGGCACATACAGTTCGCCCAGTTCATTGACAATCTCAAACAAATCTACAAAGGCAAGAAAAAACTGATGCTGCTGGTGCGGGAGCGGTTTGGGTGAGCCAATGGTTTGGGCAGGGTCCGGCCGCAGCACGGGGACTCGGGAGAGAAGAAGGAAGGAGAGCGGAGAAGACCTTCCCCCCATCGGCAGAGGCTGCTCCGTTCCGTTCTTCTGTTTCTTTTTATTTTATTTTATTTTATTTTATTTTATTTTATTTTTTTAATGTTATTTTCTTTCTCGGATTTAACCATTTCACACGCTGAGAGGATCCAGAGATTCTTTGGGCACAAACCAAAAGGCAACCATGGGAAAAAGGATGGTTTGCCTAGCCCCTGCCCTCCCTTGCCAATACCAAAAGCTAACCTGGAAATCTAATACCTCTTTCCTGAAGGAAGCGGTCGCTGGAGGGATCGGAAGGTTGCAAAGTGCAAAAATCTTTATAATTATGTTGGGGGAAAAAAAAAATGAAAAAAAAGGAAGGGGGAAAAAAAAAAAAAAGAAAGAAAAAGAAAGAAAGAGGGAAAGAAAATGAAAGAGAAGGATGAAAGAGACAAAGAGCAAAGGAACCTGCAACACTAGAACCTCATGCGTCACCAAAAGCGATGGCTTTGCAGAGCGCTTCTCCCGCCCGCCCGAGACATGCAAACTCCTCTATTTGTGAAGATACTTCAATAAAAACAAGTTAAAGTAACTGTTCTCAGGGATTGCTTACTAAAAGTAACACAAAAAAAAAAAAAAAAAAAAAAAAAAAAAAAAGCATTTATGATACTGTAAATACTATAGTATATGTGTCAATTATTAAATTGTAAAGTTATAATTATTTATAATTCTGTCTTTTATTTGGGGGATACTTGAAATTGTCGTGGGCTGGGGGGATTATTTTTATTATTGCTATTATTATTATTATTATTATAACTATTATTTAAAAACAAACAAACAAAAACCACCACAACCACAGACAAAAAGAGGAGGAGGCACGCGAACATTCTCAGGTTTCCACGGCATCGTCGGCAGCAAGAAGGGTGTGGGGGGAGGCGGATGTCCGCACTCAGCTGGGAGCACCAGGACGGACAGACGGACAGATAGAGGGAGGAGCAGCAGCCTAGCGCTTGAGGACAGCAAAGAAAAGGATGAAGGACTCTGCTGGGATGTACACAGACTCCGGCTCCCGAGTGGCAGAGGATGACGCGGGAGCGACGCGGGCACCCATTGGACATCGCCCAGCTCTTCGCCTGTGCCCCACGGGCGCCCATGAGTGAGTGCGAGGTGCGTGCATGCCTTCGTCTTTGGGGGGAATGGGGCTGCCTGGGGGCGGCTGGACTCTCCGATCCCGTCCCACTGGGAAGGCAGGGATGGATGCTCGCCCCGAGCCCGCAGCGGAGCCTTCGGCCCCTGGCCGGCAGCTCTGAGGTTTTGCTTCATTATTTTTCCGACGGGTTGGGAGGGCTGGGAGGGCCGGGGCCAGTCTGGACAGTGACTTGTAGTTAGGAACATGGGCTAGTTATCTGCTGTCTGGTTTGACTTTAATTTTTGGAAAGTGACTTTTGTCTGCACTCCGGCCAGGAAACCAATTGTACTCAGTATCTGTCGCCACCGAAATAGCATTCTTCAACCAGTCTGTTTTTCTTCTTTTTTTTTTTTTTGTTTTGTTTGTGTGCGTGTGTGTATGTGTGTGCGCGACCTCTTCATCTGATGTTTAATAATAAAAGGGATGAACATTATCATGTGTATGTACTGTGTTTCTCTGAAGCCAGAGGGATCTCCAGACAGCCTTGTGTTGCGTGCAATGCAAGCATGGCACATCCCTGGCGTATGCAGCATCTCAGCCCCCCCGTGTACCCAGTACCCCAAGAAGGGGCACAGAGAATCCTGCCCAATACAGGATGTGATTCCTCACTGTGCTCAGCCCACTCTACAGCTGCCCTGGAGCGCAGTGAGTGTGCTGTGGTGTGGTACTGCCAACACCCAGCATTGCTTTCTGCAGGGGGTGCTGAGCCCCAGGCACAACTGCTCGTGGGGATCACAGGAGAGGAGATGTGTGGCTGGGGGATGGTCCCAGAAAGGCTGTAGGGCAGTGATGGCTGTGCTAACACTATGCTATCTACTGCTATTGCAGCCAGCATAGCAGCATCTGGTGGTGTTGGTGCCTGGAGGATGCTGGCTGTCTCCAGGTGAGTCTTGCCAGGTGGACCACCAACTCCATAACAACCTGGATCAGGGTCACGCTGCCCATTTCCACCTGAGCAGGGCTGTGGCATTGGTTGCTGAGGGCTTTGGCAGTGCTCATGCTGAGCCCAGGGTAGCAGTGGGATGTAAGCCCTGAGCTCCCTATGAAAGTGCCAGCTTTAGGCACCCCTTCTCCCCTGGCAGGGCTGAGTGCATCCCTAGTGCCAAGAGATGGCCATTGCACTCTGAGCGCATCCCCTCTTGCAGGTACATAGCATAACAATGCACAGACTGCAAAGAAACAGTGACCCTGCTTCCCTGGTGTCCCTGCTTCCCCATCAGTGTTCCCTCACCTGCAGGATGGGGACCAGGGCCTCCTTGACCTCACATGCTAATCTTTTCCAAAGCCGAGTCCCCACCCCCAGCTAGCGCCACCCAGGTGCTGTGGAGAAGCTGCTAGTTTAATGCTGCATCACAACCTGGAGCAAGCCACCCTGTGACAAAAACATATTCAAGGTAGTTGTGTCCAACCTGCAGTCCTGTCCCCAGGCTCAGCCATGTTTATTGATGTGGCGGGAATGAGCATGGACAGCCTCCACAAAGGCACCCACGTGCTCAGGGTTCATGTCTGGGTAGAGGCCATGACCCAGGTTGGCAATGTAGCGTTGGGTTCCAAAGCTCTCCAGCATTTTCTTCACCAGCTCGCCAATCTTCTCCTGTAGATGTCACAGGAAACCATGTATCAACCTCAGCAGGTTGATACACCTTTCTCCACCAGTTCTGCCACCATCAGCCTGGGACATGAGCCAAGGTCACAAGAGAGGAAATGGAGGCAGGAGGCCCATGGCTCACCTTGGGTGCATAGAGAGCACAGGGATCCAGGTTTCCTTGCAGGGTGACGCCTTTCCCTACCTGTGCACTGGAGCAAGGAGGAAGCAAGTGAGTTGCTGTGGGTGATGCAGAGATCAGGGGCAGCTACAGGACCCCTAGTGCAGCTCCTGGCTGCTGTGAGCTTCACACAGCACTGGAGCCTGGCATCCCCTCCTCTGCACCAGAAAATTCCAGGCCTGCGATGCAGCAGGGCAACCAGACAAAGGAAGGGTCAGGGTAAGAGTGCTGTGCCAGACTCTTACCGAGCTTCCTGGGGCTGGATGGTCCAGTCAAGACCGACAACCTCGTAGCCAGCTTGTGCCAAATCACGCAGTGCGTAGTGTGCATCCTTCGCAAAGACAATCTGAGGAAGGAGGAAATGGGCAGTAACTCCAGGGGATGGAGTGCCAGATGCCAGGGACAATGAGAGATACAGGTACAGACACCGTCACACTGCTACCCTGGTAGCAGCCCTTTGTTCCCTCTCCCAGCCTCCCCCTCAGCCATAATCCTCCATGCACTCCCAGGCAACAGGGACATCCCAGGCAGCTTGGACTTACCATGGGCACCAGTGGCAGCGCCTCTGCTTTCAGCTTGCTCTTAACATCCCGGGCGATGTCTCGGATGTATGGCAGGGCGAACTCCTGAAATTGTTCTGGGCCTAAATGCCCTGCATGGGACTCAAATAGTTGGAGCGCCTGTGGATAAAAAGGGCTGGGTGAGCTGCAGGTACCATGCAGTGCCTCGGTCCCTCATCCCACAGGCTGGACCCTTCTGCTTCTTGTCCCCAGTCCCTGCCCTCCTGCTAGGACCTATCCCCATGCCCTAGGACACACCTGCGCTCCAGCAGCCACCTGCCCCACGAGGTAGTCAGTGACAACATCAGTCAGCAGCCGTAGCAGTCGGTGGCTTGCTTCAGGGTAACGGTACAGCCAGCTTTTGGCCTTTGCCATTGTAGTGGAGCCACCCCCTTCAACCATGTAGGACATAAGCGTCCACTGCAGGAAGGAGAGGAGTAGGGTGAGATGGAAAACATGTGAGGGGGTGGTTGTGGGATCGGTGCTGAAGACAGACTTGTGTGCAGGAACAGCAGCCCTACAAGTTCCCTGTCTATATAGGATGGGTACAAGCTGGTCCCTGCAGCTCTGGAGGTGCCAAGACCAGCATTATTCCAGAGGGAAGAGCAGGAAAGCCCACTTTGCAGACCCATATCACTTACAGGTGCCCCGGAGAAGCCGATGAGGGGCACCTTGCCCTCCAGGCTGTGCCGCGTCAGTGTGACAGCCTGGAAGACATAACCCAGTTCTGCAGTCACATCCACTTTCTGCCGTAGTTTCAATAGATCCTCCACCTCCTTCAGGGGCTCTGGAAACGTGGGTCCTTTGCCAGGGACCATGACCACCTCCATGCCCAGTGCCTGGGAACAGGGTAGAATGGAAAAGGCAGGAATGTGGCAGTTCTGGATCTAGCCCCATACCCAGTCATTGCTCCCCACCACTGACTGTGACTCACCTGGGGCACGACCAAGATGTCAGAGAAAATGATAGCAGCATCCAGGGGGAATCGTCTGAGTGGCTGTCGATAGTGGAGAGAAAAATGTAGAGTGGGTAAGAGTTTGGGTCCCTCTCCCTGTGAGGGTTGGGACACACACATGGGGTGCAGTGGGATCCCAGGGTGGGGCAGGGCCCTGATCTGGGGGTTCACTTTGTGGATGAACTCGGGGACCTTGAGCCAGGCTTTGCGCTGCACAGCTTACTGAGTCACTTGAGGATAAGGACCAGGCCTAAAGTTTCTTCCCACCTCTATTCCAAGAGAGGAAATGGGCCCCCACAGAGGACAATCACCTGCAGCGTCAGCTCACAGCACAACTTGGGACTCCGGCAAGTGTCAAAGAAATCCTGAGCAGCCCGGGTCTCCCGAAACTCTGCAAGGAACCAGCCGTGGTGACAAGGGGCGTGCTGGCTTCCGTTGCCCCCAGCCCCCAGTACTGTACAGCACCCCCCGCTCACCAGGCAGGTAGCGTCCTGCCTGCCGCATGCACCACACCGGGGTGTGCTCCGTCTCCTCGCCGCGAGCCGCGCGCAGGAAGGTGTCATTCTTCAGCTTGGGGAAGCCCTTGGGGCTGCAGGAGGGACAGCAGACAGGGCTCATCGTCACGAAGGGCGCCGGGCACCCCAGCAGGTCCCTGGGGCAGAGCCGCAGGGAAGGGTTTGCTCCAGGCCGGGACCACGGTGACAAACGCTGCCTCCGTCACCGCCCAGGGCCTCTTCCGGGGCAGCGGGGCCCCGCCTGGGGACAGGCGATGCCCGGCCCGGGGCTCTGCGCGATTACGTTATCGCCGGCAGCAGCTGCTCCCACAGGGGGAGGCTGGGGGCCTGCAGCGCCCGGCGCTATCTGCGCCCGCAGAACTCCGAGAGCCCACGCACGGCCCCAGCCCGCTCCCGAGCCGGGCCCCGAGGGGGGGACGCACGTGGGGGCCGCTGCGACGGGAGGCGGCCGTGGGGACAGACCCCCAGACCTCCAGAGCGGGGCCGCGGCGGCGCTGGGATCAGCGCCCTCAGGGCCGCCCGGTGCCGCAGCGCGGCGCTCAGGGTCGCGGCGCTGCCCCCGGCGCCGCCCCTCCGTCCGCGGCGGGGGATCGCGGCGCCGCGCACCGCTGACGGCGTGAGGAACCCCGGGGCCGCCCCTGTGACCGCCGCCCAAGCCCCACGCGCAAGCACCACGGGATAATCCCGCGCCCGGTAACTCACAGGAGCCGCTCGCTGCCCTCCATCCCGCGTCGCTTCCCGCCCCGCCCCGCCCCGCCCTCGTCCCCGCCTCGCCCCGCCCCGCAGCCGCCGCCATCTTACCGTGACTCCGCCTCTCCGTACGCCGCACGGGCGCCGCCATCTTGCCCCGCCCTCACCGATCCGTGCGCCGCCATCTTGCTTTGCTCCCCGCTTTTCCGTACAGCTCGTGGGCGCCGCCATCTTGCCCGCGGGCGCCGCCATCTTGCCCGGGCGGCGGGCGGGGTTTGCCGTAAGGCCGCGAGCCCCGACCACCCTCCCCGCTCCCCCCTCCCGCTCCCGACGCCGGTGCGCGGCTCGGAGGAGCGGAGCGCGATGCGGGCGGGCGGAGAGGCTCCGCACCAGGTGCTGGGCCGGCTGCGGTTCCTGCTGCAGTGCAGCGAGTGCTTCCGCCGCGCCCTGCCGCTGCCCGCCGCGCTGTGCTACGTGCCCCGCGAGGTGCAGTACAAGATCTGCAAGGACCCCGCGGCCGCCGCCTCGTCCCGCAGCCTGCTCAGCGTCTGGGACGGCCCCGGGCCGGCGCGGGGCTCCAAGCGGGCGGCGCGGGCCACCATCGAGGTGCGGAAGGGCGGCTGCCTCCGCGCTACGGGCGAGGAGTACTGCAACGGCGCGGGGCTGTGGGTGAAGCTCAGCAAGGTAACGGCGGGGCGCTGCGTCGCGGGGCTCCGTGCCGAACGCGGGGCGGGGGGCGGCTCGGGGCCCGCGGTGGC